TCCATTTGAAAAATCAAAGTTGCTACTGCTTTCTAATAGAAGCGGCAACACCGCATTGTCGAAAACATTTTAGTTGGCTAGAGAATGTCCGAATATGCCCTCCATTAAATTTTCAAAGTGATCCGTTGTCTGGTTCACCAGAAACGTCTAATGTGCCATCCACCGTGAATCAGCCTGTTTTCTACATATTGAATGCTTAATATACCTAATTTTACAATTTGAAGTACCTACATTTCAAGTACCTGATTTTAACATAATTTTGTAACGAATTAAGCTTATGTCCCAGTTTCCACATTTGAAAAAATGTTTAGTAACGGAGAGTTATTCAATTCTAATTGATCATTCAGTAAATTACCCGAATTCCTGAATCTAAACATTCTAGAAGATTGAGTTTCAAACTCTTCTCTTTTAAATGTAACAAGTCCTATTCATGATTGAACTAATGTCCTTCTGCTTAAAGGTGGTTTGCCAATGTGGAATTGGTCTTTCTATTTACAAAACTACTTCTATTGTTTTTAATTCGTTTGGAAAATGTTCTTCCTATTTGGCCAATATACAGTTTTGGGCAAGAGCCACAGTCAGTTTATATAGTCCTGATCTATCCGACACCGAAGTTTTGTCTCATTGTTTTTAATAAATTTACTTAGACTATTATTCGTTCTGTAAGCTACGTTTGCGCCTTCTTTCTTCCAAAAAACTGACAATATTATCGGTTGAGTCACCCAAATATGACAATGTCCTACAACTGACGTTATCAAATATTGAATTTTGGTAAACCTGGCCCATGAATCGCTTTTCTGTTTTATGGAAAGAATGGAGTCTATAATATCTACCTTATAATCGTTGTTAACCGCGATTTGTTTGATCAAACTCAGCCCTCTCTGGAAATTACTCTCAGACAGTGGAATATTTAGTAGTCTGCAAAGCATACTATTAAATGCGGCTACTTTATGCTGGTGAAGCTATGTGAAGGAATTATGTATGATAATGTCCGTGTAAGATGATTTGTGAAAAATTGCAAATTCATGTTTATTTATATTTTTCGTAATGGTTAAGTCGAGGTAATTCATTGAATTATTTACTGTTACGGGGGCAATTCCAATATGAACCTTCATCTACAATGAGATGAAAATGATTCTATAAATATCTGACATTATGTTGCATTATTGTTTCTTGACCAAAACCAGCCTGCTCACTCAGTGGTGCAGGCGTGGGAACTCAAAAGAAAAGAAATGTTATATAAAATAAAGGGGCGCCACCCGTTTAATACGGTTTTGTGTCTTGATGTCCAATAAAAAGAATTGATTTACTAGATATCCATTAACCAATACAAGTTGATAACTATGGTTGATAACTGACAACATATCGTTCATATAAGAATCTCCAAATATAGCTATAATTGGCTCACAAAATAAAACTATTATTATTATGACATAAGAAAATATGGTCTCATATATTCAGGTGATAATAAAATGTTTATAATTAACACGGAGACCAATGAATAATATACCGGGAGATTTATAATTATATTTTTGAAAAAGAAATTATTGAATGATAGGGAAATTTCATTAACTTCAGTTACCAACGTTCGGAAATAAGTTGCTTGTTAATAGGAATTCAACTATAATAAGACTACTGGGAAAATGAACTGTAACATTACCTCCCTTTCAGTGGTGAATTTTATTGACGGGTGGATGAAATTGACATATTCAATGAACTTGCCTAATTGCCTACCTGTGCCAGTAAAACAGACTAAGATATCATCAACGTATCTGTACCAGTACAAGAAATTGTTAGTAGTTTTTCAAACAAATGATTTTGTTTGTTTGTTCATCAGTAATTTTTTCACAGATTCTGGGAACGTTTTTATCAAAACAGAAGATGAAACAGTCATCGAAAAGAAAAAAGAGAGCTTCAATGAAAAGAAGTCATCAGCGCTATGTCAAAAGGGGTTTGGCATTGCAAATGACCATATTGTGAAACTTGAGATGGTGCATACAACAGAGAGACCCAATGAACATATTCATGCAGGGAAGAAATCATTTCAATGTCTAAAGTCAATGTCTAAAGTCATTCAGTAAAAGAAGTAATTTAAAAGTCCATGAAAGAATTCATACTGGTGAAAAACCATTTCAGTGCAAAATCTGCTTGAAACTGTTTATTGATAAAAGTCGTTTGAATGAACATGAAAGAATTCATACTGGGATAAAATCATTTCAATGTAAAATGTGTCCAAAGTCATTTGTTTTGTGTAGGTATTTGAAGACCCATGAAAAAACACATTCTGTCGAAAAAGCATTTAAATGTACAATTTGCGAAAAGTCATTTATTCAAAATAATACTTTGAAAATTCATGAAAGGATACATACTGGAATAAAACCATATCAGTGCAAAATATGCTTGAAGTCATTCACTCGAAGTAGTTATTTGAAATTCCATGAAAAAACTCATAGTGAGGAAAAACCATTTCGATGTAAAATCTGCCAAAAGTCATTTACTCGCAATAATTATTTGAAAATTCATGAAAGGATACATACTGGAATAAAACCATATCAGTGCAAAATCTGCTTGAACTCATTCACACAAAGTAGTAGTTTGAAAACACATGAAAGGACACATACTCGTGAAAAGCCATTTCAGTATAAAATCTGCTTGAAGTCATTTAATCGAAGCAATAATTTGGTAGCTCATGAAAAAACTCATAATGCTTTTAAATCGAGAAACCAGTTGCGTAGCTTACGTTCCAAGCGAAAGGGTAGCTCTCCAATATTCTAAAATCTTATGCGAACAACTTGGAATTTCTTTCGAACCCCTAAGACGAATCAAGAGAAAGCATATTTTTGGTGACGGCGATGTAGGCGCTGGGTTATCGTATGAGAATCAACTGAGGCGAACAATGTTCACTTCAGTAGACAGAATGATTGCTGAAATTCGTTATCGCTTTTAACAGCTGCAAAATCAAGTGTAAAAATATGCCTTTCCAATGTCTGTAGTGATGGTGGGCTCGGAAGATCTCAACCTTAATCATGCTCCTTACTTCCTAAATACAGAACAGTTTCGACTTGAGCGTGTACGTCTACGAACATTCGTAGAAACAGACCCAGGAATTCATTAAGTCTGGCTCCCTGGGCTAATTATAATACATTATTCAGTCTTAATCCAACGTAGTCATAATGTTTCGAATTTTTTAACCTCTGTCATTAGCAATATAAGTTGTGAACGTTTTTTCAAAATTAAATACCTAAAATTAACTATGTCCACAATGGTTGTGGAAAGGATTTTGCTTTAAAAAAGTGCATGCAAAGTACATTTTTGATCAAATTTTTGTGCAAAGGAATACTCTAGATCAGGCTGCTCAGGGATTAGTTCAGCTTTCATAAAAGTAGGTTGACGGATTTACTTACTGATCTCTTTGAAGTCTACCCTGCAGGCTGCAGTTATCTGCATTAAGAGATTCTAGTTGGATCTTGTCTGCCACTTCAGTAAACCCCCGTTATTTTTTTAAAGTTGATCTCTCCACCATAGGTGCATGTACGTGCATGTATGCATATATATATATATATATATAATATAGCTATAATTGGCTCACAAAA